TCAATTATGAATTATATGATAAAATTGTTACTTTGATTTGTTTTATTGCAATTTTCTTCAATAAGTCGTATAAATAGTTATTATAATCACTTAATTATAAAGATAACAAGTTGTTCATTAATTGATAAAATGATATGGTATAAGAACTTAAATATTGTTCTTATTCTTCACATATACAATGATAAGAATTCTTGGTGAAATGTATGTTCATTAAATATGTAGAATTGATGAGCATTTGGAAGCAGGGATGGATTTACAATGGGGTCACCTTCCTCCACAGTAAACTTGAAAATTCAATATTTTGTCCAATTTTTTTTTTCAAGATTTTCGAAAAAGTCTTTGTGGTTTTTAAATTTTGCTCCGACAATTAATATTTTGTATAATTGCCGTCACAAATCTTATCTTCTAGCTCTGTCCCTGTTTAGACGATCTCAAAACTTCTGATATGTTTATATTGTGATATTAAGTTAATGAACTTTTAAAAGGTTTTCGTAAAGTTAATGTTGATGTTTCTTAGATATAGTCATTATATGTAACTTGAAGTCTCTAACTTGATCATTAGGAGGAAAGTGTCGTCTTCTTTAAAGAGTTAATTTGGAAAAAAAAAAACAGTGATAAGAATCAACTGCGACTTAGATGATCTTCAAGAAGGAAGTATAACATTAAGATTGAAACTTGAAGGAAATCAAATGTAAAATGTTTGATTTATAAGGCTTGTTGATTAAAAGCTAAAAAGAGAACGTTTATATCACTCTTTGTGTTTGAGAAATAGATGGATGTAATAAGTCCATCTTAATGGAAGTAACTTTAAAACAAACTAAGTAACTACGACATAATAACCTATGACAAAGGGCTTGCAACCTTTGACAACGGCCTTGCAAGGGATTAATAGAGTAAATGTCAAGAACACTCTTGATAAGTCGACCTATCTGAATATATATGATGGATGATGTCGTATATGTGGCTTGAATAGCTACGTAAAACATTCACAAAAATCTAGGATAACAAACATTTGACGTATTCACTTATTGGTATATGAACATATAAGGATACGAAATCTTGTGTGCTTGAGGTGTTTCCAGGTGGGCATATAGGTCAAAACTTGTCTACCACGTCACGTTGGTTAGAATTTGAAACATTTTTCTGTGTGGAGATTCAAATCTAAAAAACCATTATTTTATGCATAAGTTTTGCGGAGTAGATCTTTCAAAACTTCATTCACTTTTATAATGGTGGAAGATTGTTAGGGAATTTTGAAATGAATAACTGAATGTCATTTGGATTTTAAACTAATGAATCAAGGAGAGAAATTACATGTTCGGATCATAAATATTGTGTTTTTAGAAAAGGAACTATGTCGAAAAAACTGGGCTAAAGACGGCAATGAAAGCCATCTAGCGAGGCCGCCTAGACTAGAGCAGTTTTTTTTTGTTCCAATTTTGATGGCCGACAGATTTAGGGTTGGGCATTATTCGGTTCGATTCGGTTCGATTCTAAACGAATCCAAAATTTCGAGTATTTTGTAAATGGAACTGTCGGTCCAAATTTAATTATGGAACATTTCGGGCTCGATTTGGTTTGGTTCCTAAATTCCGTACAATAATTAAAATTGTTATATATTACAACAATACTATATTAATTCAACTATGACATGCTCAATCTTAATTCTTACAAAATAACGTATTCAAATCTCGTGATATCTTTTGCACTTCTTTTTATTGAGTTTTTCATAGATTTGACCGTTAAAATCACATGAAGAGAAAGATGACGAGTTTACAATAATAGAACGGCAAAAATGACAATACGGCAGAATAAGAGATTTGAGTAACACTTAGGTCATTTGATTAAGTTAGGTTTGGTTGGAAATTAGAAATAGTAAAATCATATTTTAGGTTTGGACTAAATTAATTAATTAGCAAATTTAAAAAAAAAAAAAAACAATTTAACTTATTTGAGATAAAAAAAAATTAGAAAAATTCGGTTCTTAGTCCGTTAGCGTATTTAACTTAAGAAAAACCGTTCGATTCGGTTTGGTTCGCATCCGATTCGGTTCGAGAGTTTTGTCCAACCCTAGCCAGATTTGAACAAGCGCCATTCTTCCCAGCGCATGCTTTTCTTCTTTTCTTAAAATTTTCAGTTATGTAAGTAATGTTTCAAACTGAAAAGACTCTGAATTATTGCAACTCATTGGAAGAAATATAATTCAAAGCTATAAATAGATTCAAATTTCTATGATTGTGAATATATGTATTCTTTTATTTTCATCCATACTATATTTGCACGCATACTTTCTTCATATTTTTCTAAAAGTTTGTTTTATTCTATATATTTGAAAATACACAATAAAGACCTTTCGAGTGTGGCTTCTATTCTCCTTAGAGTTGTTTTCATTAGTGGGAGATGCAATGACATCGAATTCCTTTGTGTCTTGGAGGTATCTTTGCTTTCCTCGGTACATTACCGGTATTATAATGGATATGAATACCATCTTAAGAAAAGAAACTTAGTGCATGTTTGGTTCGTGTTTAAATTAAAATTTAAGTGATTATAAGTTGTGAGTCATACGGAACGTGTGAATAACAAGTAGATAACAATTGAGGATCCTATGAAATATATGAATAAAAAATATATTTGATCTTAAGGTGATTATAACAATCATCAACCAAACATGCACCTAGTAACATGAATTGGAGCTAATTTTCTCTCTCTAAAATTCTTTTTATCATCTCCAACGTTCATCTACTCCTTTGTCCCAGTTATTCTAAAGTTTACCTTATTTTCACGATAAGCCCTTGTTTGATGGGCATTGTGTTAAAATGGTATTTTGAATAGTAATCTTTTAGAGAATATGTGGTTAAAAAGTGGGAAAAAACTTTCGATTTAAGTGCAAATATTATATTTTGTCAATGTGGGAGAAAATGAGTATAAAAAATAAATTATTTTATTTTGAAGGGAATCAAACAAGGACTAAGTAGCTTATTGATTTCTAATTTTATCAGTAAAATAAATATTTATTTATTATAAACCTTTTAAGCTTAACCAAACATGTTTTTTACTCATCTGTAATTTAGGCATAGACTGTTTTGAGATGACTGAAATTATTAATGTCGCTAATACTTTCTATCTATCTATAATCAATTTTGAAACCATTCCAAAATTGTGATATTCCCAAAAAATAAAAATTTCAACCACATGATATTCTAAAAATTTCAACCACATGATATTCCAAAATTTCCGTATGCATTTTGGACAAATGCGTCCGTTTGATTGCAAATGTGGAAAATGAGTGGGAAAAAAAATGTTTTACTGGAAATTGAATTGCCTAGAATTTGTTTTATTAGGAATTGTAATTAATTGTGTTTGATTGGTATAATTTTTCACCTGATCCGTTTGACTTTGTTTTTCATGAAAATTGTCAATTAAAGGGATAAAATTTCTTACAATTTGAGATATAATTTATTTAGATTGCCAAAAAATTTAAAACAAATAAAAAAATAAAAATTCAAAAAAAATTTGGAGTTCGTTTGGCTTTATTTTACATGAAAATAATCAATTTAAGGAATAATCTTTTTTTATAATTGTGGATAGATTTTGTATCCATTGCCAAAAAAAAAAAGATGAAAAACAAGAAACCACCTAAAAGGTGGGAAAACAAATTCATCCAAAACCAAGAAAATGGATAACGTGCACCCAAAGCAAGAAAACCAATT